AGACCTATTAATACGCGATTTTTTCTTGAGCACTGACATACCTACTGCAACTCCTTTACTAATATAAGTTGAATTTTGAATAAATTAAAACGAGGATTTTGACAAAATCTGATAATCATAAGTCTCATCTTCACGCTGTGTTATCTTCTCTTCATATATAATATACTATATATATATCTATATATATAAATTATATATATATATAATATATATATATATATACTATATAGGAGAGGAGAAGGAGAGAGAGAGAGACTGAGAGAGAGACGAAGAGATGAGAGAGAGAGAAGAGATCCCATTTGAAAGTTGGCACATCTAAGTTTTTTTCTCAAGGTTTTTGTGCTGTTATGTTTGTACGCTACCAAATACGACGAAATTGCAAATTTTAATCAGTTTCCATTCAAATTAGCGGCCGTCCACCCGAGACTTCCATTGTTGACGAAGTGACGCAGGGCGGAGAGCGACGTCAGGAAGCGGCAGCCGCGCGCCGCGCGCGCGCGCGTGTGTGTGTTTGTGTGTGTGAGAGAGAGAGAGAGAGAGAGAGGAGAGGCAAAGATAGACAGAAAGTTAAAGACAGACAGAGACATAGCGACAGACACCTGATGCGGAGAAAATAAACTGAGAGTAGTAGTTCAGAGTAAAGGGTCTGAGAGACAGTCAACAGAACGAGATAGGACAAAGTGACAGGAGAGAGAAGAGGGAGAGAGAGAGAGAGAGACGGAGAGAGAGCTAAGAGAAAGGGAGAGGGGAGGAGAAAGAGGGAACAACCTCTGTCAGGTTCCGCAAGTAGAAACTATTTTGCATAGAAAAAAAAACAGCTACTGGGATAGTTTAACGGCCCTGTCGTCGAAAATAACTAAGCACCTATTCCTCTCGCATCTAGCTAAATGAGGACTCAAGAGTGAGGGCTCTATCTAGTGATTCGCTGACCATAATAAAAAAAGTTGTATTCTATATTACTTTAATTCTTAAGTTAACGCCGAAGATTTCGGTGGTTAAAACTTTTCACCATAATTCTGCTCAAGTAACCATAGACCAGGAGTTCTGATTTATGGACGATCAGAGGCTTGAAGCTCTTTCGTCATGAGTTCCATAGTCGTTACTGAGTTAAGAGTCAATCAAATGCCTCATGTGGGAGGCAGGGGGACACTCACTCTGATCTGTGCTGGTTTTGTGTAGGGCTAGTGTATGCTTAAGTTTCCTTGGTCTGCGGAATTCTTATCACCTCTCCTTTAATCCCAACATAAATTGATTAATGAATGAAAAATAGAAAGTGCGTTATTGAGAATATTGATAAAAGTAACGTTTGCGTCCTTGTAAAAGAAACTTGTTTTGCATCGAAAAACGAGCTTACGAGCGGTTATAGCCCTGCCGTTGAAATAAGCAAATCCACCCCTCTCTCATCTAACAAAAGGAGAGCTAAAAGTAATAACAATAACAATAATAATAATAACAACAACAACAATAACAACAACAACAACACCCTACAAGGATTATACTTTTCCCTGGATTGCAGAGGGTCTAACACTTACTGTTATTTGGAAATAAATTTAAAACACTCATGATGTTATTTGCATTTTGATTAATACACAAGAAAGGGAACGAAAAGAGGGGAATGAGGTTATGAAAGGAATGTCATTTCTTGATAGCAGGCTATGAGTAAAGGATGCATAGGAGTGTCCATTGACTTGGTTTCAGTTTTCGTTTTACAAGAAACTATTTCTGTAAGAACTATGGCACACTTGAATTTTGAGATTATATGGATATCAATGCAGGGCAATTGGAGGTTTAAAGATTAGGCTATTCTGTTTAATATACACAAATATTATATAAAAATTATGTCACTATATTTCAAAAATTGTTTCATGTGCTATAAAATGTGTTTAATATCAGATAATTGGATGATGGGTATAGCTAGAAAAAGTAAGGACAAAATTATATACTCCAAAACAGAAGAAATATTGTAAAAGTCTTCTTTAAAAATTTTATTGATTGAAAAAGTTATATACTCCTCCAATAATCTGTCTTAATTGAACCTATATTTCATATTATTTATAAATATTCATAAAGGGGATATTACTTTTATAAAATTTCTTTAAACAGTAACTTGAAATAAAAAAAAAAATCATAACTTTGGTGTTCCCTAACAACATGGTAATTATTTTGAGTAAACTGAGTAAAAAACAAAAACAATTTTGGGGAAAGCTAGGATTTCCACTGTCTCCTGCCCCCTGCCCTGGATCTTTCTCCAATTCCATAATACAAAAATCTTTGGAGCAAAATTGAAATTTATTTTCTTCAGTTTAAAGAAGCTTTCGCTGTAATTTACAATATAATTTTGCAATAATTCAGAGAATCAAGTTGTTCCAAAGTTTGAAGCACATGAAATTTTTATCATGAAATAATCAGGAGAATAAAGAAAATTATTTTTGCTCTCAAAGGAATAATTGCTTTTTCAAAATATTGCTTCTTGATAAGTGCCTCATTTGTTCGATGTCCTCCTCCCTTCCTAAATATTTTTTAAATAATATATTTTCTATTTGGTAAAAAAATCTATATTCACTACAAATACCTTGTAATCAATGTGTAATTGTTTTCAATAGATTAAATAAAATAGTAAAGAATATTGACAGGAAAAGAGGACACAGGCCTTCTACAATTTCCCTTAGGTTCAGATTTTTTTAACAAATAAAAAATATATTATTTAAAAAATATTTAGGAAGGGAGGAGGGCCGTTTCAAACAGAAAATGGCCTCTCCTGAAATACTTTCTGAATTCACCACAATACTAAAGAGATATTGTTTCTTAATTTATTCAAACACTAAATATGTAAAAGTATCATAAGTGCAAAACAGTTATTCTTCGTTGAAATCTCATTAATATTGGCAGATCACAACAGTATTTTCTCTGGTATGATTGTAGGAATTGAAATTACTTACGTAAGGATTGTTGCGTGATAATGTTTATATTGAGTACCTTGAAATATCACTATGTATTATAAAAATATACGTAGTAAATGATTAGTATTAGAAAATATTTTTATATTCTATTCGTAGGTAAAATAAATTTTGATATAAAATTTTAATTCTATGGATATTCATATCAATATCATAGCACATCAGTATTGCAGAAGATTTTTTTTAATCTTGCATTTTTGTATTCAGAGAAAGTAAATACATAACCAAGAATTGACAATAAAGGTGGTAATTAAACTTTTGAAAGTGAGAGTATTAACATTTCAGATCTACATATGTAATTTAAACTTTTATCCAAAATAATCTAAAAAATAATAAAATACAAATATTGTTATGCCAATAAGGGAAAGAAAATGGATTAGAAGTCATTCTAATTAATGACTTTGGAGCTTCTAGAACTTAAATCAATGTTCATTTAATGCCATATTATTAATCTTTTTTATTTAAAAATGTAGGCTTCCTTGATGGTAGTAATGTGGTGTTATTATGATTCAATTTACAAAAAGGGAAATCTAGCTTGTTTCAACTACAGACCTAAATATTAATATAATTAAACATTTTTTTAAATTTAACTTGTTTAATCAAATCCAACAAACAATATTCTATAGATGATCCTACCAAAAATTGAAGAACACAAAAGTTTTCAAGTCCTTAACTAAACTTTTCTATTAAAACTTTTACTCTGTGATCACAAAGGTCATTTCCCTTGATCCTATGAGCAAATGCTGAAAAATTTTCTTGCTTTGGTTCTGGTTTGAGTTTATGCAGCTTTACTCTCCTCTTGCCACAGGAATTAAACATTTCTGTGATTTGTTGATTTTGCTGGAAATAAAATTGCAAACTATAATATAAGCCTACATTGTATATAATTTAATTGATTTACAATAGCATTTTTGAAGTGTATTTAACAAGTTATATTAAGCTATACCATAATGGACAGTTTTCTAGAAACATTTTGTAATCTAATGATGAATATTTTGTAAATGTAATATGAATTGTAATCACTAACTATTTCCAAATTGAACTAAAAGAATGCATCATGTTTACTATGCATACAGTACCAAGTATTTAGAACTTTTGAGATTGTCATTGATGTACTAAGTCAAACAGCCTAAAGCTTACTCCAAATTGCAAGAATTGCAATAGCGTCTGTAGATTTTTTTGACAATGTAGTTATTTTCTTATCATCATTTTAGTTACGCCAATGATCTGAAGTAAACAAACAAATTTATACTCATTTCCCATTATTATTATTTACATTTTTTCCAAGTATGTCAAGTCAAATGTGAGGTTTTGTAGTTGCATTTACATCAATTTAATTCATAACAAAATGGATTGTCAAGATTCTAAGAAAATGACACAATCGTTTTGCAGAGGTTATTTGTGTAAAAAAGGCTGTATAGAAATGGAAAAATAATAAGTTTTTTCTTTTTTTCTGTTTTCAGACTTCAGTTGGTAAATTACTTTTTAAAAACAGACATGACAAATAATGAAGTAATATTTGAGGGGTGGTGGTAGTGAATGTAAGAATTGAATTAGTATATTTATTAGTTGTCTAGACAGCTTTTTCCACAAATTTATGCCCAGCTGCAAAAAAAGAATTTCAATTCAAATTCACAAAAGACAATGCAGTAGTATTTATAAGTGAAGAAAACATTAAAACCTCTGTGAATATTCATATATTTCATTTGCATCAAACTTGAAAAATATTATTTTTGTGATTTCAATCCATTTATTGACAATATAAACCATTAATATAATTTGTATAATTTCCAATTTGCAGCGGGTACATCAGAGTATGGACTACACTTCATAATCGCATTTAAGTATGACATAGTACATCCTAAAATGGTATGTGGAAATCAATATTTTGATAAGAATATTTATTAAAGTATTTTTGTAATAAACCCATTCGCGTTTCTTATTTTCTGTGTAGAATAGCAGAAAAATAACCCAAGTTGTCACTATAAGTGTCGAAGTGTGCGTAAATGAATTTTCTCCAAGCTATAAAACATCAACTGTCCGCGCTGATCGGCACAAAAAATGGGTGAAGCGATGTTCCCACTTCAAGGTCATGTTATCATAGCAAACGATGCATTAATTTTGCAGAGAATATCGGTTCATTTGCTTCAATTACATACTACCGATGACAATTTCCACTACCAAATTCATTGATGATAGTAGTGTATTAACGCTAACAAATTCAATTTTGTCTTGGTAGTGGTTTTGTCAATCAGAACAAATGATTTGTATGGTGTAGGGGTTTCGTTACCTCTAATCATATTAAAGAAGATAGGTATTACTTCCGAAATTAACGAAAAGAAGGAATATCCACAGGGAAAGGAGAGAGGAATCTAAATTAGAAAACAGAATCCAAAAACAGAAGTGCAGCATACCGCACTTTAATACGTGCATTTCTGTTTCTACAGATGGCGCGCATGTCCGCGTGTTTCTCAGCGTTGGTGTAGTTTCGGCGCATGCGCTATACAGGTTTGTCGTCATGTAAGCTCCATAGCAAGATTGAGGTTGGGCTACTGTGTTCGGGGTAAGTATATTTTTGAGATTTCTGTAGTTCTTATGGTTATGGAATTTTTGAAACTATGACGTTTGGAAGCGTCACTCCGATCGATAGGTAACGGAAATACAGACGCTACTTTCTCTCATTATGAACAGACTGGTCATGAATAAAGTCTGTGTTAATTGCTCCCTGAAATGTTGACAAGATTATTTATGATTGCTGAGTGATGATTAAATGAGTTTGTATCAAGTTGTCATGCACTGCAGCAGATACAGAACTTAGTGTAATGGTAATTTTAGTGAAACACAAAAAACCGTGTTCATAAGATCGGTCAGAAAGAACACAGTTGGGTTAGGAGCGGGTCAGTGATCTGGTCCTACCTGGCGTATGGAGTCGATTACACTGTCCGAGTTCAGTTCGATTTTGCATTGAAAATAAAGTTGGTAACGAGTTTAAATGATTGGGTTTTATTTGACTGTAATGTAAAATGTATTGATAAGCAGTGGCAGTCGAAGGAATGAAAGTGCAAATTACCGTAAACATAGATGTTTTCATGGGCTCTTCTCGGTAGAGAGCCTAAATGGTTCTTCTGATTGTATGTTAAGCGAAGTAATTTGTTTAGTTGAGCGTGATAATTTTTATCCGTAGTGAGCGACTATTCCATGAATGACACTTAAATCCTTAGTATATTTGAATATTATGAATTTGACGGAGACTGATCGGGCCATTTTTTGAAAGTTATTTACTTTTGTTTATTAGATAATCCATTATATGATTTGAATTTAATATAAATGACTATCGGCATGTTTTTCTTTCTTCTTTTGAGCGCATCGAAACTGTTGTCATTTGAATACGAGAATAATTTATTTCCTTTTGCATTGTCACGACTCGCGTAGTTCTAGTAGTCTGTATTCGTTCTTGTCCGAGTATTTAACATTTACCGCAAAAGTGACAATTTTCAAACAATACTCTTTTTATATCGGGTGTCATTCCTTTACTCACTCCTTTCTGATGGAATCTTTCCAATAAATTTTGAAAAAGATTTTTGATTTTGAAAATATCGAATCTTAACAAATGTTACTCATTTGTAATACCCTAATAATGCTAACTTAATTTACTTACCATCTCAAGTTAAAACAATTTTGATTGGCCGCGATCACTTTCGAGAACAGTAAATCGGTTGCGTAGATTGCCATCGCTTACGATCTTTGTTACTACCCTCGCGCAGGGTCCTTTAAAATTCCATCCGCTGCAGAGAGCGCGATCTGATCGAGTAACGATTCGCAGACAATTGTTTATAAACTTTGCATCATGAACTCGAAACGGAAAGAATCATTTCTTTGAAGACACTTCTATAAACAGTAATTATTGCTTTTCAACAAACAATGTTTATATTGATATTGACAAAACCAAATTGAAACAATCAAGAAACTGACAGGATTGCTGAATGCTATCTCTCTTCGTAAATGAGAAATGCATTGTTATATTATTTTATTCTTTTAATGCATTGTGTGTACATCCACAGTCATGAGGTTAAAAATGCATTGTTAGAATTTCGAAACCTATTATGGCGATTTGTTGCTTACCATTGTTAAATAAAAATTTACATTTCTTAGAGTTTAACTATTTCTCCATATCAGATCGTACAGTTAGCTCCTGATAAAGCGATTAACTTCTTGTGTAGTTTTAAAATGAATATACGAATAATAACATTCCATCTATTGACTACGCGGTGATGTCAAATGTGAGCGTTCCGCACGCGCCAACGCGGCAACGTTGGAAACGCCCTCGTCTACGTCCGCTGCTCAGTGTATTTGAGTATTTCTCTTGGATCGGTGCATTAGCGTTTCGGCGGGTTAGCACTGTTGTGCTGGCTGGATTTGTGTGCTCCATCGTTGACAGTTGGGTAACGTATGTTTTGGGTACTCATTGTTACCTCCATTGTTGGACATTTTCAAAATGGCCCCGGGTAAGAGGCTTGTGTAACCGTCCTATTGGACTCGCGATGAAAAAGCTTTCTATCTTGACTCGCTATTGTATCGTAAGTCTCTTCGGTGAATACATTGGGCCTCTTCGTTGAATACTGGATTCCCTCCGAGCTTTCGAAGGAAAATAATGTCCCGTTAATGTTCTAAAGCTAATATTACGTGGTTATTTTAGTACATTACCATTTCATAATTCGCCCAAGATTAGTTACGCGCCTTTACTTTCATTGATCGATGCGGTACCATGTGTCATTGCTTTCGCCATAGGTTTTGACGCAGTTCGCGTGTTGTCCTTTTGCACCCGTTCGCTGAGATCTCACTCCGCGGTCGTTTTCCACTGGCCCTGCCTGCACTCGTCTATTCGCGTTCTGTCTCGAGGAATAGACCATGTAGCCGTGTTGAATGTGGTACTCCCTGGTGGCACTACTTCCAACTGTCTTTGCGTAGAAAGGACATATTTCATAATGGTCTCTATTTACGGATGGAGGGGGGGGATTGGTATGACTACGTAATGCCATCGTAATCAGATTCAGAGTTAACTCCTCGCGATTTGACCGCCATTTTATTGGAGGAGTGTGACTCCACTCATTTTCCTTGCGAGATGAACACTAGACGGAGCGTTAGTCCTTGCCTACGTCATTACTAACATGAAAAGAAAAGTAACGCAACGCAACGACGTTATCTACGTACATTTACACATTCTTCAAGTTGGATACGTTCGCAAATTCTTTACATTAGGGCTGACTAGGAGAAAATATTTTTAACTCTGAAAATACTAATCCAGACGTGGGAATAAAGAGATGGAACAGCGTGTAAGAAAGGAACTGCGTAACGAGGAATTTCATACAAGAGTTATAAAATTGTTAAAAATTAACGATATTTAATTGAAAATTGATGGTTTACTAATAAACCTAGTAAATATTCAATGTTACGTAAATTGACGTTAAATTCACTCCTTTTCGAAAAAGGTCACTACGCTTAAGAAAATGACAACGTTCTACCTGTAATTCATTCTTTTGCTCTTTCGTTTTCTTTCTCTTACCTCCGCAATACGTTATTTCCGTGTTACGCTGTAATATAATATCACGAGTTTAAGTTAGATTTATAACATTACGATCTGCTCGTAACTTCATGATAGTTTCATCCCGTTCGCTCTTCGTTCCGTTCCGGGCCGCGAGTTTTCTTTCGCCCGAGTTATTGAATGGTGTGGGCGTTCATTACGTAAACATTCAAAATCTCACGAATGTAGGAGTCAGGCTAAATTGAAACAAGTACTTTCTGAACGCAATTTTCATATATTTGCGAATCAGACGCATTAGTCTTGAAATGATAAATTTGTCTCGAAAAAAAATAAATAAATAAATAAAAAATAAAAAAAATAAAACAAAACAATAATCTTACCTTAATTTTACATGGTTGGTCTAATAGGCGAATTTTCCCATTTCAGGTTCATTTACTCTGCCGACGTAAAGCTGCAATTTACCATGCTGTCGTCTTTCTCTCAAGAATAAAAAAAAAACATGAAATTTATACAAACCTTAATTTCTGACGGAATGTCTATGAATAGTTTGAAGCCATCAATTAACACTGAGGCCGAGAGTTCTTTGGACACTTGCATTATGAAGGAAACTCCAGTAGATGACTGCATTTTAACAAAAGAACGTAATTCCCAAAATAATGGAGATAAAGAATTATGCTTGACAGATTATGAAATGGGAAATGTTGAAAATACTGCCAAAAAGATGTTTGAACAAGTTGATCTTAATTCAAGTATGCCCAATTCTGAAGTTTCACTTAAAAAGGATTCTTGGAATTCTGAAGCTTTGTATGATAATTCAAGTGAGAAAGAAAACATAGAATTGAATGATGTGAGATATGATATTCTGTCGGATGAAGATGACAATGAAAGTATTCATCTAAAAATATCATCTGATGATGATAATTCAGTAACAGAATCCGAGACTAATGAGCCAAATTCTGTTTGTAACAAACAGCTTGATGATAGCAATGATAAACTTTCCCAAAATGTGACAGAAGATGGTGAAAACCCAAATTCTCCCAGTGAAGTTCACAATGACCTTCAAAATGAAAGCAATTGTGTTATACCCAATGAGGAGGAAGAGCCTATTAATGATACTTCTGAAAAAGATGCATCCTTTGATGGCTATGAAATTGAAGGAAGGATCACTGTTGGTGGTGAGTAGAGCTATTTACATGCATTTTAAGTTTTATTTTCTTTTTATCATTTTCTATTAAGGGTATTTTTCATTTGGGATTGAACCAAGTGTGATGATAACGGAAAATCCGTTGATTCCTTGAAATTAATTTACCCACTTTCTTGAGTGGGAAAGTTTGAGGGATAATATTCATCTGGAAAATGTTATAAAAATCTAATTATCCAATAATATATAGTTTAGAGTCTATGTATAAATTTTAACCACACATCACTTCTTATAAATGAAGATTAAACTAGGGGTATAAAAAATTAATTCTGCCCAGGTTAAACATGAAATTGACTCCTTTTCAAAATAAAATTATTCTTAGGTTCCCTTTAAAGAAAATCATTGGTTTTTGTTTTAGCACTGTTTTTAAATGTGCTGTGTCACAGAATAGTGGGTCACTATAGACGTCACCTTATTTTTCAGTTCTTAAGGCTTTATAATGTAATATTAGCACTATGCATGAAGGAAAACATTGTGACTTTTGATTTTGTTTTTTATTTGAAAACAACGTAGTTTTGAATGTAAATGATATTTGAACATAATCTTCTTGTGCCCCATTTTTGTTGGTTTTTGAAATAATTATTATTAATAATGATAGTCATCAAATTACCTTGATTTGTAAATATGTCAAACTAATTCAATGGTTTTCTTGGAAATGCACTAGTATTGCCTGAAACAAGATTTACTTTTTAATAATAATAATAATAATAATAACAAATAATAATAATAATGTAATGAGAGTGCCTTACGTAATTTAATACAATAACAAGGCTACTTTTTATATTATTTTTCATTTAAATGTATTTGAACACTCCACTTACCTGCTGAATGTTCAAAATTGTTATGTTGACTCTTAAAATTGGTAAATTTATTATAGTGTATATGAAATTATTTTATTATTATATCTTTTCAGAGAATTGCCAATCAAAATAAGTTATTCTTGTGAATTTACGTAATACCTTTACCCCTGACATCACCTATCCAATTTATTGCTCTGTTAAAATGTACAACACAATACCAGTTGTTATGCTTAACCATAATCAGCTTTTGCTCTAAAGTGTATAAGATTTCTTTAATTTTGTGTCATTTTACAAATATAATAAGGGGGAAGGTAAAAGCACAAACAAAATGTCAGTACATGTCAAAATTAAAAATAATTTTAGAATGAAAAAAATAATCGTAAAGAGGGGGAGTACAAAATAAAGGAAATAATGAAAATTGTTCTCTCATTTCCAAAAAAAATTAGATGTATCTACATCACGTTTTTAGTTTTAATTTATTTTTCTGTGGAACATTTTCAAAACAAAACAAAAAAATCCAAAAACCAAAATCCTCCTCATGAAGATGTTATAAATCTTACGTGAAACACTTCAGCTGCCACTTGCAGATGGTAAATTTTTCTTTATGAGTAGATTTAGAAACACCTCTGCATCTCATTATGTCGTTTATAAATTTTAAAAATATATTCTTTTAATTCTGAATTTAAAACCTTCGTATAATGTGTGGACTATTTGTGGCTGTATTCCACATTATTGTGGCATGAAAATTTAGGAATATATTCGTTGGAAAGTTTTTGTGTTGAGATTCAGAATAGATGATATAGTGTCAATAGCATTGGGAGGAACATTTATGCTTTGCTACTAATAAATTGTTTTAAAATCGAAATTAAATTATTTGGTAAATATGATGTGCTCAATTTTACAACTAATTGTGTGTAAGCTAAGTAAAGCAGACACATCACTAGCTTTCTCAAACCGAAAATTTGGGATACTGTTCAAATTTCTGCATATAAATCAGTAGAGACGCGTGATGTGGGAATCCTTTTTGGTACATATTGGGGAGTTCTCAGAGCTTGCTCTGTCGTAAAATTACCGCTGAGTAGCAGTTTAATTTTTTTCTTCTATTCAAATATGTCTTAAACATGTGTGAACTTCTAAAGTCAAGAAATAGTTGCTACCTTGGCAGCGTAACTGTTTTCCCACAATTACAACGAATTCTATCATTGAATCGTGGTCCTGGATAACTTCGTAGCTACCGGTTGACAGGCATGCCATTTGCATTGGTTTGCGTATCGATTTTTACTAACGCATTGTGCATCCATTATTGAGCAATACTTAAATTCTGCATATGTGTAGCATCATTGATGGTGAAAATTAATAAGATGTTTACAGGTTTATTTAATCAACGTGTTTTATGGAAATCACAGTAGGGAAACGAGTAATCAGTTTCTTTTACCTGACTTGCAGAATGAATCTGAATGAGTTTTGTAAAGCCTCGTTTACAGGAATTCCAAGCGACCGAAATAATTGGTGTTCGTATTATAAAAAAATAGTGTTACCTGATTATTAATATTATATTCATCAGTATTAGTTTCCTTGCCTGGACCCATAGTGCCTTCTGGTTGCAGCGAAATTCGTGTTAATAGAGTACGTCCTATGGAGGGTTTACTGAATAGTGTTAATGTGTCTGGAGAATTGTGCACTACGTATTGTATTTTTATAGTACACCAGTTCGACTACTAAGCTTGTAGATGTGCGTTTCCTATAAATTCTGGGAAGACTTCCAGATAAAATTTGTGTGTTTTGCAGGATCTTAAAATTTGTTGAATGTTAGCATACGATTAATTTAAGTAAAATGTGTATGATTAGTAGTGCATAGAGTAATTCAGTTTATTACAAATTGAACATTAAATCTACTTCTCGTTCAATAACTGTCCACCGTGATTGGTTGGCCCAAGGTTTTTCAGATGAGCAGAGAAATCAGAGGATCGATTGTGGGAATTGTGGCAACGTTGCTATCAACAAAGTTCGTGAAAATATTGTTTGGCATGTTTAAAAGGAAATTGAGTAAGGGGAGGGATTAATTAATTTGTATTTTTTCGCGACTAAACTACATCTTCATTAAATAGAAATAGATTCATGGAATTCTGCTAGTGTGAATGGCAACACTGTCGGAAGGTAAAGTGTTGTACCGTAAAAACAAGACTGGGACAAAACACCGTGTTTTGTAGATTATTGTTGTAGGCATTATTTTTGGCTCATGCATGTATCGTTAAATGTTTTTATTAAAATTTCCACGATGAAGTTTACTTGCGATTCGATGAACCTCCTCCTGGGAAATTCAAACGGGTGCTCACAGAGAATTAACATAGTAAAGGCTCTAAGGTTCACGATTCTCCAGATAGTTTATTGTTACGCATTATTATTGGCGGGTCGAAATACCGTCTGTGTTAGAATTTTTGACACTTTCTTACAACAAAATACATAAAGCAGTTTTTTTTCTTTTTGGTATTGCAGATGTATGTGAAACTTTTTTTGTTTGCTATTCAATTTTAATCCAACGAGTAAGGAAGTCGAAATTTGACAGATTAAATTTCATTCAAATTTGTGAGAATTAGCATGTTCTGATGTAAAGGAGAAGTTGATGGAAATATTTTATATAATAAAATATTGTTAATTTTGTTGAATCTTTGTTTCATTTTTATAATTGTTATAAATAAAGATTAATAAACGGTTCTTGGTACTAGTTAATTTGGTATATTTTGTCAATGTTTCCTGTGTTGATAAGCCCTTTTACATTACAGACTCAGAACATGAAGACATCCCTGAAGATTTTGAATCTATGCCATCTTGTTCAGATTCACCAAAGCATAATGTCAATGACAGTATCACTTCAGACACAATGGTAAATGAGGCAATATCTCCTCCCCATTCACATGAGAATTCACCAAGTGTTGAAAAAGACTTGGATCCTGTAAATGCAAATTCTGAAAATGTCATAAAAGAAAATACAGCCAAAGAGGATACACAATTGTTACCAATTGATCCTCAGGATGAATCTAAACATGACAGCTCTCCTGATCATTTATCTGCTGATTCAGAAATGAAGGATCTATTACCAGGTAATAGTACTTCAGAAGAAAAAAACATTAGTATAAAAGACAATGAAGATAATTTGAGTTCAGCTAATGATGCTGATTCAGTCGAAGTTCCTGAGAAGGAAGTTAATTCACTTTCTGGTGTTAATGATTCAGATAGCTGTGTAGGGCAATCACAAGAAAATGTTTTAAAAATTAATGATGCTCCCAAATCTGGTGAAGAGAGTAGCAATGAATGTATTGAAGAAGAAGAAGAAGAAAAACAACTTCCCAATAGGGCATTTGATGAAGTTCATTCTGAGCCCAAGGAGGATGAAAGTTCAGAATCAGATGATTCAGCTAAAGATAGAACATCATTAAATGAAAGTAGTCCACAAAGTGATGTTAAATCACTGGAGGAGACATCACCATTAAAAGAAAGTACAGACAGTGAGGAGAAGTTTTTAGAGATATTAGAATACCAACCTGCAAATGAAGAAGTAGAGGAATTGAGAGAAATTCAGCCGGACAAAGATATACTTGGAGATGAAATTCAGCAGGAAGTGTCAGATGAAATAGAGCAAGAACAGCAATCAGAATCACAAGCAGAAAAGGAATTAGAAAGTAATAATTCACCTTCAATGGTGCCAAAAGATGTAGAGTGTAGTAGTCCCAAATCTGATGCTGAAACATCCCCCTTTAGTTCCCCACAATCAAACTCTACCCAAGCAGAAATTACAAATAATAGTGAAGGTTCAAAAGAGAAAGATGGTGATACCAAAGAGAGTGTTGACAATGACAACGAGGAAGATGCTAAAAGAGATAAGTTCAGCGAGGTTGCTTCCTGTAGTAAAGTTATTGATACAGAGACAATTAGTGATGATCGTGAAGATCTTGGAGACGTTGAGTGTGTTTCTGAAGTTAGTGCCAAGAAACAAGTACTGCCAGAAATTTCTGAAGGTATCTACATTACATTTTGTTACCTGACTTTGTATCTTTTTAATTTTGCATGAGTGTTAATCTTCCTTCTTATTTTTCCTTCTTTTCTTTTTAATTTATGATGAAGTGCCTTGACTTTTGATGCTGTTTGAATGGTGCAAGGGGGAGAGCTTATAAAATAACATTCTTATTTCTTTTCTCTAAATGTGCTAGACTGTGATTCAAGTGCTAGATAGAAAAGCATATTTAATTAATACAACTCTTGGAAAAGTTTGAATGCAAATTAAATGAATGATGTTATGAATTGTGGATTGTTCGTGAGGCTGTATCCAGAATACTTTAATTTTTGCTTCTGGTAGATGCTTGTGAAGCGACCTTGTGAATCTACTTTTACATTAATGTTTTTTTGAATTACGATGAGAGTGTTAATATGTCCAGTCATATTAACATAATATTAATGTTGATTGGTATTTGCAGGTAAATAATTTAATTTACATACGTGAATTATGCATTTCTAGAATCTGTGATAGTTTTTAATGTATTTATTTAAAATTTCAAAACGGAGAAACAAATTGTCACTTTGTTGTTTTGTGTTACTTCGATTTTGTGTGTTGCGTGATTCTTCAGCTTTGCTGACTTAGAATGGAGGAAGGACATCTATTGTACTGACCGTGTGTATGAGAAGCTTAAGTGTGACAGTATTGTGAAAATCTTGTAATCTAAATAGGGGTGAGATATTATGGATAGATGTAAGTAAATGCCTAGTACAATGTTTCAAATGAAATATGTGACAGCTAGTCAATATGCATATGAGAAGTTGAATGTATGTTCAGTACATTTTAAAAAAATAACACGATGTTGTATTTATGTCAAATAATAAAGTAAATACGATAAAGTGAAATATTTTCGGCCGCCAAAAATGTGGTTTGGAAACTTCATACAATAAAAAGGAATTTATTTTATATGGATTTAGGGTTTTTTAAAAATTAACTGAAAGTCATTAAAACTGATATTCATCTCAATACTTGAAGTAATTTTGAAAATAGGTCCTTTGACTCTTAAATGGATTAGTTCTGGCAGACTTTCATTGTCTGTTATGCTATTTCTTTAAGTGTTAATACAATTTCTATTAGCTAAATTTATAAAGTTAATTCCAAGAAGTTCTTGATTGAGGTACTGTGTACATTAATAAAAAATTGAGTTCTGTGTTGGAAGATATTATTAATCAAGAGTAAACAATAATTTTCAAACAATTAGTAATTAGTGTTTACACATTTGAAAATTATATAATAATTTTTTAAATTATTTTATAAAATGTTCATTTAGTAGTCCTGTGGGATTTTATGTAAAGTGAATATGGTCCACTTTCTGTCATCACTGATTCTGCTGGTGCTTTTTTTTATTTTTTAATTAATTAAGTATTTTCTACTGTCTCGTCTATAGAGCGTAGTTATAGTTTAGAAATGATGAAAAAAAAGGAAATTTTTCAGGAAATACATGTTTTAGGGTCACCTGCTTCCACAAAAGAGGTGCATAAATTTGCGGGCGGCGATGGTGTAACGGTTAGCGTACCGGACTGTTGTACCCAAGTTGGCGGGTTCAAACCCGATCGAAAAGCCCTGGATTTTTAAGGGGGGGGGGGGAAATCCTTCGTACGCCTTCCTTCGGAGGGGAAGTAAAGCCGGCTGGCCCACGTTAGTAGATTTACTTGCATGTAAAAGATCCTCAAGCCTAATGACGCCTCTGAGCTAAATTGAAATCGCCTGTTTCTCGCCCAGAAATACCCCCTTTTTCTGCTAGTTGCTTGAAGGAGCTTAGTGAAATTTGCGTGGTCAGACGGAAGAGCCTAATGGCCTGAGTCTCGCCACGTAAAATAAGAAATTAATTCAATTTATCTGTCTGTAAATAACACTTAACATCTAAACCATACACTTGTTTTTTCACCAAACTTGATATTTCCCGATGGAATGCTAGTTGATCCCATTGAATTTGAAATGGCTATTTTAGGTGTATTTGTCATGAAGCACCATCACTTTTTTAAAAATTCACAAAAAGCTCTCATTTTTTTCTACCCTCCTCGAGTAGAGCAAAGTGCACTATTAAAATGGTGCATATCTGAATTTCACTAAAACCTCTGAATTTTTGAAAGAAAAGGAAAAAAACATCTTTCTCCAATTTCAATATTGTTGATAGATTTATTCTATAATGAAATGTTCATGAACTTTTATTGATATGATTTTCGTTTGTTCATATAAATTTGACCTTCAGTTTATTTTGTGTACCTCATCAAAATACAAGTAGTTTTCATGTCATATTGAAAAGTATTGTTCATATTTTGTGATTGATATCTGAAGTATTGGTAGTGCAGTTTATTTTGTAACTGTTATCAATATTACGAAAAAGTAATGTACTGTTGTGTAGTACCACTAGTTTTATCTTCATTTAACACGTCCGCTTATCTGAAATATTATGAAAAAAAAGTTCTACTTCTTTCAACTACTTTATTGAAGACTGAAAGTTTTTAAAATTAAATCTCTTCTTTATTATTAAATATTTAAATAGTCATGTATAATTTTAGGAAATATGTGTAGTTTTTGTGTAATTTTGGCTGAAATCTATTGTTTATTTGTTTGCTTGGACAGAACAAACTTCACTTATTACGGGGTAGGTCTGATTTTCATTAAAACTGGTATTTTGGAAATTACAAAAACATTTTTTCAACTCCCCGTAGTAAGAGTATTTTTCTTAATGTGAAGAACTTGTAAAGATAAAGTATTTTTCTTAATGTAATCAATTCCTTTGGATTTACTTTTTAAATAATTTTGTTTTAGCTGATGGAGCACAAATAAATTACTGGGGTTTAGGAGTAAATATTCTTTGCAATTGTGTGATGCCATTAAATTTAACGTTGTAAATTTAAACAAAACAACAGCAACAACATTTTCTTTGATCCTATTTCGCTTTAGTTAGGAGGTTTTCAAGTGATGTGGAAGGTTTAGTGTAATAGAAGTTGCAATAGGTATGATATTCTGTAACCACTACCCATATAAAAAAAAGTGTGTAATGTTATTGAATTTGTAGTGCTTTTTTTAGAAATAAATGTTTTATTAATAGTTCAGTCCAGTAAATTATGACTTTCATCTATTTTCGTTACTAAGAAAGGTATTAGAAAAGATCTCCCCCATACGCCACGTACAGTTTTTACTGTTTTTTGACTAAATAAATCTAAAGCGAAATGTTTTGACTTTATCGGTACTTTGGAATGCACACATTTATGATTTCTCATATCATTTCTACATGCAGTTAGTGCTAATACTATGTATATATAGTGAAATATTGAATTTTGCATGATTAATTTTTTAAAGTGTAACAAAGTTGGAAAATTGGTTAAAAATGGTAGTGGTTAATTTGTAAGAAATAAGATTTTTTAAATCTTGTACAGCAGTTATATTTAATCATTTATTTCCGATTGTTAACAAATTATCGGAAACAATTTTGTTACTACAAAATAAACCCACTAATAATCCATGGTTTACTGTGTGTTCTGTGCATTTGTAAAACAATTTATTTTCATATTTATCTGTGCGTACTTTCATTGTCAGTCAATGATAATGTGTCAACGATCGACAGGAAATTACTTACATTAGTAAATATTTGGAGAATGTACATTTTCCAGATAATAAACCAACATAAAACACATAGGACTGAAAAATTGAGTTTTTATTAGTGCCATTTAATCCTTATAGACAATCTCTAATTTCTCGCCTTTCGTAAGAAAAAGTGTTGTAATCGTGCGCACACGGCGAATTTTCGACAGGAAAAATTATCGGGCCCGGGAAATGAAAAAGTTTGTATGTATGTTGTTTGTATGTATAGTCAATTACTTTAACACATGGGCTAGCGGAAATCCAAAGTTTTTTGGTCGTTGATTCTGAAAAATCGATTGCCTGCGAAACACCCGCGCTAGTCTCTAAACCGCTCAGCCTATTTTGTCCTAAATTTATATTCCCTGGTGGATTTAAACTCGAGGAGTTCTGAGTTTGAAACGGATATTTTGATTTTGGGGAGTATCTTACATGCCTTAAACATTTTAAAGCGTTTCTCAAAAATGGCTTCATTTTTTTATATAACTTCGTTTTCGGATAGTTTAAAGCGTTTAAAAAAGGCACTGATCTCAACGTTGAAATCCATGATTTTTCGAAAATTCCAAAGTTCAGTGTTTTTTCGACGTTCTTCGTCGACGTCCTTCAACTACAATATTGAAGATTGTTTTCATCAATGGAATTTGTTATCCATAATTAGTTCTTTCATTAACGGCAAGCATTTTTGTTGTTGAAAACGTTAGGAATGTTCACGCAATTGTGAGAAAATATGGGCACTATTGAAAAAATATCAAAAACAATTTCTCGAGAAGGCTCCAAATTTTTTCCTCGTATGTATCAGAGACGTATAAAAATTGGCGCTAGTCCCATTGCCGGCGAACTGTTTTTCGAAAACTGCAAAAAAGATATTTCAAATTTACAAGTTTGAAGATACAGATTTTTGTTTTAAACGAAATCTGTTATCAGTAAGATTTTTTTGAAGTTTCTCACAATCTTTTGAAGAAAGAAGTTTTCGTATAATTCGTGCTTGAAGTTAATGCAAATTATAGGAAACATTTTCTCAAGAACTGCTCCATTTTTACCACGTATAAAACAAGGAAATGTTTAAATAATGACGCAGGTGTCATTTTCGTTAAACTTTAAATTTTCGAAAATAGCAATTTTTGAAGTAATGGGAGAAAGAATATGTTGTTGCCATTAGTTTCTTCAAATTCTCCACATTATTTTTCTGTGAAAATCAGATAGATTTTGCTCAATTTCATTATTTGCGCATTAGAACTAGAAGCTTTTTCAAAAGGATTCGTAGGCTTCCGTGGCCGGAGTCATTGCATACTTGTCTGTCCGGGATGAGCCGCGTCTCAGTCGATCGAGCTGGCGTTTCGGCCATCGTGTTGTGGCCTTCTTCAGAGCTATACTGCC